CTTATTATTGGTTTATTTTAGAGATAAGATTGTGGCACCATCTTGGCTCATTGCAACATCTGCCTCCTGGGCTGAAGCAACCCTGGATGAATAGACATAAGACTGAGGCTGAAGTGCCAGCCCTGGATCCATTCCTATATGGCTATGCTATTGGGAGCAAGTTCATCTCTTTGGGGATGAGCTCAGGGTACTCGGATTACCACTTGCCAGACTCTGGTGCTCTCTCTGGACATCCCACGTGGCCTGGGCACCCACCTTGTGGCTGAAGGCTGGGATCTGTGTGCAGTGGAGCTCATGGCCCAGCTCCAGCCTGTAGGCGGCATCTGAGTGGCTCTCTGTCTGCAGCCTCTGGCCGGTGCTGCACTGGTGCCCTGGCTGCTTTGCCTGAGCTGTGAGGATCAATGAAGGGACCCCTGTCCTCCTCTGCCAGGCAGCCCTCCACCAGGGCTCCAAGAGGAGGAGGGCCCAGCCCAGCCTGGCCTCAGCCATGTCCTCCCAGCCCTGTGCTCTGCTTCACCTGTCACTCCATTAGAACCTGTCCATGGGGAAGTCTTAAGAGATGGATGACTGTCCCCTCAACAGACACACTTTTTAAAAAAATGATCAGGTACTATGTCTTACTGAGAGCCCACAGAATGACTAATGGAAAATCCTGTGGTGACAGCATATCTTAGCTCACAGAGCCACAGCCGCAGGAAACGGCACCTGCCCCGCAATCAGGCCTTACCCAGGAGGCTGTACTGGATCCTCAAGGAGTTGGTGCAGAGGTGGCCCCACTGCTGCAGCAGGCCAAGGGCACGCAGCCCCGCCAGGCCTAGCATAAACAATTCGGCACTCACCCACCATCCATCCTCCTCCTTCCTTTCCAGCAGTGCTGCAGGGACAGAGAGCAGGCAGGTCAAAGGGTCAGCCCCCAGGGACCAACAACCCTAGCCCCAGGCAAAGAGGGGCTCAGGATACCCCAGTGGCCTTGGGGTTGGGGGGGGCTTCTTGAAGAGTCAACACCTGTGCCCTGCGCAACAGCCCACAGACAGGCCTGATCACGGCTCACTGCAGCCTTGACCTCCTCCCACCTCAGCCTCCCAAGTAGCTGGTACTATAGACACATGCCACCACATTGGCTAGTGTGTGTGTGTGTGTGTGTGTGTGTAGAAACAGGGGTCTCACTATGTTGTCCAGGCTGGTCTTGAACTCCTGGGCTCGAGCAATTCTCTTGCCTTGGCTTCCCAAAGTTCTGGGATTATAGGCAACAGACACTGTGTTTGGCCCAAAATAAAGTAGAATGAGGCTGGGCACAGTGGCTCATGCCTGTAATCCCAGTACTTTGGGAGGCCAAGACAGGCAGATTTCCTGAGGTCAGGAGTTCAAGACCAGCCTCGCCAACATAGTAAAACGCGATCTCTACAAAAACACAAAAAAATCAATCAATCAATAAATAACCAGGTGTGGTGGTGGGCGCCTGTAACCCCAGCTACTCAGGAGGCTGAGGCAGGAGAACCACTTGAACCCAGGAGACAGAGGCTCCGGTGAGCCAAGATTGTACCATTGCATCTAGTCCCAGCAACACTATGAGACTGTCTCAAAAAAAAAA